CCCCTTTCCCCCTTTTTTCCCCCATCTTTTCCACTCCTTTCCCCCCCTTTTTCCCCCGCTCCTTCCCCCCATTCCCGATCCCTCTGCCAGTGAATAATGCAGGAGGAGGCTGGAGGGGGAAGGAGAGGCTCAGGTTGTTCCATTATTGATGAGAGCTGACAGATCCGCTCCTGACAACCTTCCGAGGAGATCTGATTAGCTCTGGGGAAAAAAATAAAAAATAAAAAAAAATATTAAAAAATATATATATATAAAAATAAAACTAAAACCACCGCAGCGCCTCGGCGAGGGGCAGCTCCCAAAGGAGCGGCGTTCTCGGTGTTCCCGAATTCCGGGGGACTTGGGAAAAAGGTGTTTTTTAGCGGATTTGGGAAAGGTAATTACTCTCAATTAGAGTCACAAGCTCCGAGACGTCAGCGCTCATCCCGCAGACAGCGATAAACGGGGATTTTTCCAGAGGGATCCATGGATTCTTTGGGATGGCAGGAACAGGGAATGCTCCACCCCTGCAAGAAAATCAGCGGGAGCTTCGCTCGGTGCCTCCCCCGCCTTCCCATGAATAATTCATCCTCCTCCTTCCCGGGATCTTTGGAGATCCAGGAAGAAATCCCGGAGAAGGGCCCGGGAGGTCGCGGCTGCCAGACACGAGCCCAATTAACCGATCCCAATTAATACGCGACCCTGTTCCCTCAGCTCCGGCCCCGTCCGCCTTTCCAGACAGGAGAAATTCCCCTTTTCCCAAGGTTTTTGGCCAAACCGAGCCGCCCAGGGATGGATTTTGGGGCTCTGTCGTCAACAGGATGGGGGGAGAGGCTGGGTGGGCTTGGCTGGGGCTGCTTTGGATGCTCCAAAATCCGGCTTTTAATGGGAATATCTGAATTGTCCCAAACCCTTCCCCACAGCAGGGGACAACATCCCAAATATCCTCCCGGAGCCGGTGCTGGATCCCAGCAGGGATGGGCACAGGGATCCCAGCCATGCCCGGGGGCGTCATTCCCGTGCTCCCATCCCATCCTTTCCAGGGATACTCAAACCACTTTGGGATCCTCCAGCTGTGAGCAGCCCTGGAGGGTTTTGGGGGAGCCATCCCCTCCAGCACGGGAATTCCCGGGAATTTCAGCACCCCAGCATGAGCCTCAACACCTCAGGGATGGTGGAGAACCTGCCCCGAGGGGGTTCGGAGGTTCCTCCCCACCCCAAAACCCCAGGACGCGGCTGGTGGGGATGGGCAGCTCCGTTGGGATGAGGTTTGGGAAGCTGAGGACATCAGGAATGGATTCCTGAGCTCCCAGGATTTTTTCTGGGATGTTCCCAATGGGGAGAAGGACCTGGATTGGGATCCCTTGGAATTCCCTCGGAAGCGGCGCCATTCCCCAGGCTCCCGCCTTTCCCCCACCCCCAGCCACGGTCCAAGTTTTGCTGTCTCGGGGACAAGAATTCCCTGAAATCTTTGGAATTCAGGCCAGGTTTCCCCGCCGTGACTCCTGATCTCCGCCGCATCCCTTAGGAATGACAACTCCCATCCCGAACTTCTCCCTCCTTTTTATTCCTTCCTTCACCCCTCTCATCGTGCCCACAGCCGAACTCCAGCCTGGATTTCCTCCCCATCCAGGATTTTTTTCCCCTCCCCTTTTCCCAAATCCCCCCCGGCTCCTTTTCCACCAGCTCCTCATTCCAGGGCGGCCTCCGAGGGACCCCACAAGCTCCGGGGCTCTTTCCCGTCATCCCTAGTTAGGCTCGCTGAATTAATTAATCACTGAGTGAATTAATCACCCCATCAAGCCACCGAATTCGTCACCCCGGCCGCTCCGCGGAGCAGCTGCTCGGCGCTCCCGGCTGCTGCTCCCTCCCTTTTCCGGGAGCACCGAGGGATCGGGAGCTTTTGTTGAGAAAAACAACTTTTTTTTTTTTTTAATCTTTTCCCCTTTTTTTTTCCACCTCGCGCGACCCTTTTTAAAACCCCTCAAAAGAGAAGCGGCTGCTCGGGGATGTTTTTCCTGCTTTTCCGCTCTCTCCCGAGCCTCTCTCTGAGTTTCCCAGGCCAACAGAGGCTGCACCTTTCCCTGGAGCCCAGCCCATCCCAAACATTGGCGGCTCCTCCTGCCAGCTCTCAAAGTCACCTTGTCCCGACCCGCCGAGCTCTCCCGGCAAATCATTAATCGGCTCCTCGGCATTCCCGCATGGAAAAATGTCCCAGCGGGTGCCCCCGGGCTGGCACTCGGACATGCAGCTCCCCGGGAAGCTGCTCCTGTCGGCGGCCGCGCTGCTGCTCCTGTCCCTGGCCTTCAGGTTTTACAGGAACCGCTCTTCTCCCCCGGGAAAAATCCCGCCGGGAGAGCAGCTGGAAAAGCGGGATGGAGATGGGGATGGGGGCGTGAGGAGGAGGAGGAGGAGGAAGGATGGGGGGGATGGGTTTGGGAATGGCCTCGGGGGGCGGCACGCGGCTCGCTGCGGGGAGCGGAGTTTTCCAAGGAGTGAGGAGGAGGAGGAGGAGGAGGAAGGAGAGGAGGAGGGTTGGGAGCTGGGCTTGATTCCCAGGAAAGCCCCGCGAGGTCCGGCCGGGATGGGAAGGGAGTTGGGAAGGGAACTGGGATGGGAGTTGGGAGGTAAATCAGAAAGAGAAGCAGGGGTTGGGCTGGGGGGTGATCCCGGGAGTGGGACGGGAAGGGAGCTGGGAAAAGGACCGGGAAGAGAGCTGGGAAAAGAGCTGGGAATCAAGCCGAGAAACAATCCAGGAAGAAAGCCAGGAAGCAAACTGGTAACGAAGCCAGGAAATGAGTCGGGAAGTGAGCAGGAAAAGGAGCCGGGAAATAAATTGGGAATTAAGTCAGGAATGGAACTGAGAAGTGAGCAGGGAAGCGAACCAGGAAGCGAGTCGGGAATTTCGCTGGGAAGCGAGCTGGGAGGCAAGGCAGGAATCGAGGTGGGAGGTGAGATGGGAATTTGGCCGGGAAGCGAGCCGGGAATTTGGCCGGGAAGCGAGCTGGGCTCTGAGGGCCCCGAGGATGGGGACGGAGCTGCCCCGAGCTCCGGGCGCTCCCCGGGGCCTGGCGATGCCCGGACAGAAGGGGATGGATGTGCCCGGAGCACGGAGCAGGCTCCGGCCGGAGCCGGGAGGAGCAGCAAGGGCAGCACGGGGACCGTCCGGACCCTCAGCGTCACCTCCAACCTGGGGCTGCTGCTGACGGCGAGCGAGGCGGGCTCGGACACCTCCTACCGCTTCTCCTCGGTGGCCAAGATCCAGGTGGAGGAAAACTTCATCCCGGAGCGCCGGGACAAGGACGGGGACAGGCCTGGCCTGCGGGGCAAAGTCTACGACTATTTCGTGCAGTCCATCTCCGAGTCGGTGTCCAGGAGAACCTCCCTGCCCTTCGTCCCTGCCGGGACCTCCCGGGGCCGGGCAGAGCCGCAGAGCTCCGGAACCCACGCGGAGAACCCAGCCTTGGAAATTCCTGATCCCAAC